TTTTTTTTTACCTATAAACGAAGTTCCATATTTGCGAAAATACCACCATTCAAATATTAAAATCAGCCCGGATATTAGGCTTGAGGTGCCGGTTAGGGCAACATAAAACTTTGGAGTCAGTGTGCTCAGGAAAACAGAAGAATCCCACATCCTGCACCTTTGCCTTACTTCTTAATCTTGAAATCTGACAAAAATGTATCACGATACTTTAAAAACTGTTTTTTATGTTAAAAGTATCTGTATCCCCTAAAATTATTGCTTAATCCGCTTCTCTATTACTTCTTTCGTTCAAAGGCTAAATGAAATTCTGTGCCGCGATCATATTCTTTGATAAACATATGTATATTTATTGTGGCATAAATGCAAACTTTTAACAATTCCGTAAAAAGACTTCTTTTATAGTGAGGTACTGAACTGTCGGTACCCAATACTTCAAAAGAATTTGGGTACCCAATACTTCCTTTTCGGTACCCAATACCGATTCCTTCGCTGTTTTATATATTTAAAGTTTATAAAAAAATTACAATGCTTTGACGTATGAAAACGGACGGATGATTGATGCTTCAGACAAGTCGTGGCTCAGTTATGCATTCTTGGCATTGCATATGAGTTGTCACATAAGAAGAAATCGGTTAAATGAGCTTTGCGTGTAAGCGCACATCATTACATATGTAGAAGTCAGTGCAGTGTAAACTATGCATAACTGAGCTATGAGAATTCCTCTGCCTTATGAAGACGACGACATGCGTATGTATATATATACATTTTTCATATTTATCAATTGGGGTGTTCACAGTTCGTTCCAAATTGTGTCTGAAAATGTAGACGTCTACATTTTGAGACATCTTTAGCATCAAACTGTGAGCACCCCTTTCTAGCAGTCGTCGCAAAATCGTCTCAAAACTTTGCTGGTGTTNTCTTTTATAGTGAGGTACTGAACTGTCGGTACCCAATACTTCAAAAGAATTTGGGTACCCAATACTTCCTTTTCGGTACCCAATACCGATTCCTTCGCTGTTTTATATATTTAAAGTTTATAAAAAAATTACAATGCTTTGACGTATGAAAACGGACGGATGATTGATGCTTCAGACAAGTCGTGGCTCAGTTATGCATTCTTGGCATTGCATATGAGTTGTCACATAAGAAGAAATCGGTTAAATGAGCTTTGCGTGTAAGCGCACATCATTACATATGTAGAAGTCAGTGCAGTGTAAACTATGCATAACTGAGCTATGAGAATTCCTCTGCCTTATGAAGACGACGACATGCGTATGTATATATATACATTTTTCATTTGAATCAATATCAAAAGTTCTTTTAGTACATTCGGCTTTTGATAAGTCTCCCCTGAACCGTTTTTTCCATATTTTTGGCGTTTTTGCGCTTTTATTAGAGGCCTAAATATTTCGGTACCGAGTGTCCAAAGTATTGGATACTTTTTAAATCGGTACCGAGTATCGATCAATACTTTAAAGTATCGACTCAACACATCACTATTCGTTTGTGTCTTCGAAAATACTGTTCGTTAGACTCGGTTCACACAGAGAAACTTTTGACGCTCATTTTCGGCAATTTCTCTTTTGGTGTTGCCCTCGCGTTCACACAGAGCAATTCTTTTGTACACAATTGTTGTTGTCAGCTGTGAACGGCCAATTAGAATAAAGGGACACTCAAACAGACGCGGTATTGGAAGTGCGGTACAAGGCGGTACACAACTATACTATGTACCGCCTTGTACCGCACTTCCACCGTACGTGTGTTTGAGTGTCTCTTTACTCAGAGGAACGAGAGCACAAAGCGTGTTGCCCGTGTTGCCCATATAAAATGACGAAATGGCTAAGAAGCTTTCTTGAGTCAAATTTCCTTAAGGCAGTACGCAGTTCTTAAGAAATTTACTACGCTTTCTACTACGGTTTTCTAAAGTTTTTTGAGGAAAAAAGAGCACAAGGCAACCCAGGTTTGCAATAGAAATATATGCCCGTTCCATTATTTCTTGAGGAAAGAGTGAGGCAACAGGCTGTGCGGTATCAAAAATGTCAAAATTCCTTGGACACACACGCGAAATAATGGTAATTTTTTCTTGACCGTTTTCTTGAGAGCTGCATACAGGGCTTTTAGCATCAAACTGTGAGCACCCTTTTCTAGCAGTCGTCGCAAAATCGTCTCAAAACTTTGCTGGTGTTGCCAGATATTTCTTCTTTGCGTGCATTTTAAATATGTCGCCTTTCGAATTTGTTTCTGAAAAATTGTAATTATTTAACTTAATTACCAATTCCTAATATTTGTTATTTCTTTTCTTTGATTTGTTTCTTTTCATCAGAAATTGCGCTCAAATTAAATGCAAATACAGAAAACGTGCCCAATAAATACGAAAAAAAAGTGATTAGTATTGCCATAATGCAACCCGCTGCGAGGTTGCAAAATGTAGACGCGTAAAAAACATACCTTTGAGCATGATTCAATAATACAAGGTTCGATAAACTGACAGTTGTCTCTCTCGCACCGCTCCCTTAGCAGTGGCACCGTGTTGCTTCTTTGCAAATTTACATGGAAAGAGTGTACCTTTGGTGTGAAATAGAAGTATAGCTTTTGTGCAATATGTTTATTTGTGTATGCATATGAAGCATATTTAACTGATGAAAACATAAACTGTTTTTAAATTGGATGTTTACATCAATCTCATAATAGTCTTATCTTAATTTTGAGTAATTTTGTAGTTTTTATACAGCTAAATAGCACATAAATTGCGTAATTCACGTAGATATATCAATATTACGTTCAACATTTCGTTTAAAATGCCAGATTTCCTGCAAATACATTAGAATTTACAAAAGGAATTTGACTACTAATTGCCTACTTTGCGTACTTTTCTACTACCATTTTCGCAACAAGAGATTTCATTATTCCCCTTTCTCCGTCCTTCGTAAATGCAACCTTTTGTAAGGGAGTGTCAAACCGCAGCTGTCAATAATTATCTAACCTTGTATTATTGAATCATGCCTTTGAGTGTGACAAAATGTAGACGTCGTCGTTTTCCAATTTTGTATGGGAAACAACAACACCACGGATTTTACGGTTAGAAGACGTCTCAAAATGTAGACGTCTACATTTTGAGTCACTATTCGGAACGAACTGTGAACACCCCATTTGATTGGAAAGACGGCGACAGCACTGGAAGAGGAATAATTGCGCGACCAAAAGCACTACCGAATCGGTTTGGCAGTAAATGCAATACCGGAAGTCAAGTTGCCAGTGTTGCCACTTTTCTCATTAAACATTTTCTAAATGTGGTATATTCGAAGAATTCAGAGTTGCATTTAGGCTTTGTTTCTTTTCTTTTCTAGCAGATAATGATCAGGAAGAAGAAGAATGAGAAAATTAACAGAATTACGAAAGACTAGCAGGTAAACACCTGATCGGTGTATTTGTCTATTGAAAATATTTGGCGCGAGTTTTCTTTTATTCATTTTGACAGCAGAAATTAGCAGAAGAGCTAAAAAAAATAAGAGCGGAAGAGAGAGCTTCTAGTTTCTACTCGTTTTTGAGTTAAGAAACGCCTTCTAGCAGAAATGAGTGATAATTTGTGATAATGATCTGTTAAGAAACAAAGCTATTTTTTTGGCCTGAGTCTCTTTGAATCCATTGGCCGTGCCATTTGGGTCCTATTTTGCCTTAACAGGTCTATTCTGCGCTGGTAATAAAAGTTGTGTAACGGCAAATGAAGTTCCTGTAAATTTTTAAACCCTTTTCTCATAAGCTGGTAACAAAGTATTACCCCGTGAAATAGGCAATGCCAAAATTTCCACAATTCTTCATAGCTGAATTGCTGAATATTTTAACTGCATTATCTACGTACCTGGAACTACGGTGACAAGAACTGGTAACATTTTTTGGTAATACAATTTTCCGGTTACAAAATCTTCGGTAACGTGCGGAATTGATTTGTAAATGGCACTTTTTTAAAGCAATAATATTCCAATACATTTTTATGAAATCCTTCGCATATACTACTTACTACTCTTTCATTTTACTAAAATTTTCTAATTTCTAATGTGTAAACAACTAGTTTATTTTATTTCAGACATTGCACTTTGTTTTAGAAATGTGGCTCAATTTTATTGCTAAATCAGAAGGGATAAAATAGACACTTTTAAGTGCCATATAAAACGCTTTCTTCGCATCGCGTGACAGATTCGCTTTGACAGATAAGATGAGTTGCTTGAAAATGCACGAAGCATGCCACATAGATGGTTTCAGCTGCAGCGCGAAGCGAAAAGATGGCCAACTCACATCTTTTTGCGCGCGTTGACTATCAGCTGGTTTGATAGTTATTTTATTTCGTCCAAATTCGAGTTGTCATGCAAAAACATAAAATTTGATTACATTGCGTCACGCAAAGCCACAAAGTTTTATCTGGCATCAGCTATATTTTTCTATTTGGGGCTTTTACATCCTCATTACTAAGAATAGTAGGCAGCCCTGGTCGCACTTCCATTTTCTATTCGGTTGGCGTGTGTGAATTGAGAAGAAATAATTTTCTGTTGGATTTTCAGGACATACCTATTAGGTAAAAAGTTGTGAGACATTTCATAAGATCGAGTTAAAAGTGTTAATCATACAAAGGAAAAAAATCGCACAACAAAAATGTGTTTAAAAGAAGAGAAGAAAGTAAACTAAGGTGGAAATTTGTGCAAAAATTTCACGCTTTATACCGGTGTGGCTGGTATTGAAGAAGAGCACAGAGCACACAGTTCTTAATATACATACACATTATTTTTAATTGAATGCGGTTTTTAGCGGGGGAAACGAAAATAAAGATAATTAAAAACTGGTAACTAGTCGTAATAAGTTTTTGTTGTATTTTTGAATGCTAAACTTTTTAAATTGCAAACATCAGAAAAGTTATAAATTGGTAATTGATTGCCATGGCTGACGGTGCCGTTTTAGACCTGTACGCTGAAGACCTGGATAAAGATTTTGCCGCGCAGAACCAGGTGAGTAAAAGAGATGGCTGATCTGAAACTTATCAGAAATTTCATACACTACATTTTAGGATGAATTTGCTGCTGAAGGTGTTGATTTATATGACGATATAGGGGGTCCGACCGAATCTTCAGCTACAGCTGGGGGGACTGTCTCTGTCAATGCTGGCGATAATGTTGCAGCAGTCGCTGGTGGTGATTCGGCCGGAAACGGTGGCGGGTCCAATGGTCTATACCATCAAGGTGGTGGTAGTTTAACGCCCAATCATATGGGGCGGCGTTATCAACTATATGTCGGTAACTTAACTTGGGTGAGTATTTTCATTAACCTTTTCGGAGAATTTTTGAGTACAAATACAAATATACATAAAAGATATTTGCGATAAAGCCTATAGCCCAAAAAGGCTATGATGAATTTAACACAATATATGCAATTATTTTTACTACGATTACTTCTGCCACTCTTCTCTGGCAACACAAAAGAGAATTCTACTTAGTGAGGTTTATAATCCCTAAGCGTGGCCGAAGGCATCCATCAGTTTACCGATCGGAATATATATATATAGGTATATCACAGACCGTCTTCAAAAGAGGCACAACTCAAAATTTGGCATGTTTTGAAATTATGCGCTAAAAAAGAGCTTTTATTCACCATTCATTCAGCAAAAGCTACGAGTAAATTTTTGTTATAATTTGTTTAAAAAAACAAGTTTAAGTCCAGAGGTGTTAAAGAATGCAGTCATCGTGACTTTAAATCGCTGCAGTCACATTCATTGACATTTCTTAACTGCAGCCCATCAATCACATCTTTGACTGAAGTCTGCAAAGTTGAAGTCATTAGTCTTTTCTGTTATTCTTGACTAATTAGTTATTTTTGTAGTATAAGTTGAATAATGAAACCCTAAAGGAATCTTTGCGCGCACTTTATAGAATTATAATAATTTTTTGTTTAGAAAATAAACAAGTACACAAAAAGCTTAATTAAAACCCCAGTAGTATATAAAATATTTAAAAAATGCCAATGAATCACCGAAATTTCCAAAGGAATACATATGTATTATTTCGCTAGATTAGAGTAAAACGTTGTGAAGTCCACTTTTTATGAAAAGCTATATTTTGTTATATGAAGCATGGGGTATTAAAAATGCATCGTTTCGAAAGGGATTGAGGTACTTCTTTAATTTTTTCTCGTTTATATTCAATGAAAAAAAATAAATAAAAAAATAATTGACTGAGCAACTTTGTTCTTTAAGCTAACGATATGTACATACATTAGAGTAGTCCAACTTTTGTATGGGAAAAAATGTATCGTAGAAAACGGGTCACCCACCCCCATAGTTTTTTCCTTTTGATATTTGTAATATCTATACCAACTTTTAATTTTCTACTGTAACCAATACAAAGTGCTCTATGGCCTTGAAATGCCCTACAGGATCGCTGTGAAACTGGCAATAATATTGGTGATTTTTATAAAAAGCTTCTGTTGCCATGACAACTTTTGCAAAGATTCTTCCAGAAACTATGTTATCAAAATGCTGTAGTATGATTTTTCTTGATTCTTCCGATACTTTGTTCTTAGTGTCGCCAATTTAGGAAGAAGATAGGCTAAAAAAACATTTACATATACCGTATTGGACATATCTATAGCACCCCCATATCAAAGTGATGTTGTTCGCCACTTATGTTTAATTATTTATTTTTAAGAATTTTCGGTAGTAGTGCACTTAAGCGGAACCAGGTCAAAACGCGTCTTAAAGCCAATAATAATAATCCGATTTGTCGCATTGCTTCCATATAACGAATAACCACAATTTATTTGTATATGGAGCCCGTAAGCCCTGGCAGCTAGTGTTCCTTTTTTTGTGAAATAATTGTATTATTATTTTTCATTCAATAAATAAATAAATAAATATTTTTATGTATACTCAAAAAATTCGAACACTTCTGAGAAAAAAGTTTGAATTTTGGGTGAGTAAAGTTGCATGCACCAACTTGTAGTTATTGTGAAAACCTATAAATTCTCTTAACTGGAATTCTCGATTATCCGTGGTGAGCTAGATCCCGGATTGGATTAATGCAGTTATTCCAAGCTAGCCAAGATCTTTCAAATTGCGCTATCTGTCTGGATATGGGCGAATCCGAGAAATATTTAACCAAAATCGCAAAAAATTCATGCAATTCTAATTTTCTCATTTTTGCGTCAAAAAAGGCGTAGTACGAAGGCATATTAAACAAGGTAGGATTTTGACATTTCTCTCTTTTGAACACCGACTATAATGTCAAATGATGAATATTTTTTAACCTTTTTCAAGTTGCCATTTTCTAATTTGCATTAAAAATTTAATTGTGCTTTGAGATAGTTTTGAATTCTGTGCGAAATTAGAAAACTTGGTTGCCTGAAGCCACGGAATTTCACCACTGAGTAAGAAAATTTTCTTACAATATTATGCACACATAACCGCGTCAGGACCTAGCTAGATTTACACTGATATACATACGTACATATGTAGAAGAACTAAACGAGCAAAAACATTGGGCGAATAGAAACAAAAAAATGTTTAAAGCAGTTTCATAAAACATTTCATTTAATGACGTGGTTTCCTCTATGAGGTATTCTTTTCTGTATATGTATGTGTGAATATAAGATGCGAATGTAGCTAAAATTCTATGAAAGTAATATTGAAGTAATCCTTAAAATTAGTATACGTACATACATATGAATGTATTTATGCTGATGCATTTCCATGGTGAAATTATAAGCAGGTGAAGTAATAAAAAAAGCTTTCTCGCTTTATTTTCCTGTAGCAAACACAGCACGCCCACCTAATAGGGTTAATTTGTTTGTTTATAGTTTTTTGACATAATAACTAGCTACAAGAGAGTTCGAGCTAGTTGTCACTTCCACCTTGTTAAATATGCCTTGCATTAACTCAAATTCAAATTTCCATTATTTTGTTCTCATTCAAACTTCTTCATCGAGCTCACTGGAATTTTGATCAGTAAAGTCCGGCGTAAAGGCCAGAATTAGCTGATTTAAATAAAAAGGTACAAAAAGCTATTAAAAATAAAAAGTAAAGGTGTTAAAAGCAAATAAATAAAATATACATATCTACTAGGCATTGAGCTGAAACCCCGGAACCACGTGAAAAAATATTTTTGAGCTTCGGTTAATCCGGAATATTTTTGTCTGTCTATGCTTAAATTTGGATGTACTATTTAAAAACCAATATAATTGTTGTACTTAGAAAAATAAATTCTTGTTTCATTATCATAAATCTCTACAGTGGACAACTGACCAAGATATTGCGAATGTTATGCGCGAAATTGGAGTAACCGATTTCCAAGAGGTAAAATTTTTTGAGAACAGATCAAATGGTCAATCGAAAGGCTTCAGCGTTATATCACTGGGATCTGAAGCAAGCTTACGTCTGGTTTTAGAACGTTTGCCGAAAAAAGAGCTTCACGGGCAAGCTCCGGTGGTAACGTATCCGACTAAACAGGCGCTAAACCAGTTTGAGAGTTTGCAGAAGACGCGCCCAGTTCCACCGTCACAACAGAATGGACCGCCACGTGGTCCCGCACCTCCGAACATGGGTGTGGGGGGACCAATGCCGCCACATCCTGGTGGACAAGGGGTACCCCCTGGCCATCCACCACGTATGATGAATCCCAATATGGCGCCAGGCCAATACCGGCCACAGCACATACAGGGTCCACCTGTAGGACCGAATGCAGGGCCCCCACGTATGCAGGTATGTGTGCTTTGATTATATCTTATCAATTATACATACATAAATATACAGTCAGCGACAAAAATATAAAAACCCCCGACGTTTTGACGATTTTATTTATTTATATTTTCCATAGCAAAATTTTCATATTTTTTTTAAATGTAATTCATTCAACAGCAAAAACCAGCAAAATCAAATTTTTTTCTAATTGGACACTCGGGGGAAAACTCAAGAAATACCAAACATTTTCATACAAATTTTTCACCTTTCAATTCATTAGAAAAAATTCTGAGTATACAAACGAAATTCTCAAAAATCAGCGGTAATTTTCAGAGACTTGAAACTTGCACCTTATTATACTAAAATTTACTGGGCTAAAAACTGCATACTTAAACTTTTTTTAAGAAATCGAATTGAAATGTTGACACTTTTTATGAAATTTTTTTTGTATTTCTTAAATTTTCCCGAGTTCTATATGAAAATAAAAATATGATTTTGGTTAAATGAACTCTATTTTTATAAAAAAATATGAAAAATTTTGTATATAAATAAATAAAAATCGTCAAAACGTATATATATATACATCTACATACATATATACAGTATGTTTTAATACCCTTAGAATTGGTAGTCCTAAGTAGTTACCATTTGCTCACAACTTTTTGGTGTGCTTACTTTTTAATTTGAACTCTACTAAGCTAGCAACGTTTATCTGAGTAGTTCTGAATGCCAATTTAAGTGTAGTCGCTATAATGTACAGATTTCTCTATGACATCAAGCAAACAATTATATTTAAGTAAATGTTCGTCCCTATGCTGAATATCGTCATCGTCAGTAAAAGTGACGGTACTGCCATCGTCAGCCATTTTACTGATGCGCTGACCTGACGATCGTCGACGATGACGATATTCAGCCTAGGACCAATTAACGAAAAGTAGCATAGTATGTTTAATAATTTTGTTAATATGTAATTAAAAAACACATGTGGTGGCAGAATAGATATAGAAGATTTCTATCCTTCTCGATTTATGTATGAAAAGCAAGGCCGAAGAAATTAACGTCGTTTAAAGTACAAAACCGCGTATCAACAAAATGCAAAACCGCGTATGTGAGCTGTGCGTAAATTATTTTCTAGAGAGTAAAAACACTCATATTTTAAAATGGTTCTCTTTTTTATAAAGCAATCGCATTTCTTGCTAGTATATTTCAGGACGAATGGATAAGGATTGAGCCAAGAGCTTGTGTGAGCAGTTTTGCAGAATGACTTTACGCGGTTTTGTACTTTAAACGACGATAAGCAATAAAAAATCCATTTTAAGCACTAAAACATTGGCTTGCAAATATGCTCGCAAAACAACAAAATTTAAGTACAGTTTAATGTTTTGTTACAACGGACAATCAAGTGTTGCTTGATATTCTCAAATCAAAGAGATTTGCTCTGGTCGTTTTAATTTCATTAATATTCGTTATTCTCCATTTGAGATACATAAATTGTTTTTAATCTATTTAATAACACCAATGCCTTATTTAGTTCGATGAATAAAAAAACTGCCCAAAAATGGTCTACAAAAATTTAGAGCCAAATTTTCTTTAGCAGTACGAAGTTCCTAAGAAATTTGCTACGCTGTACTCTTAGTGAAGAGTACAACGCACCCTTGTTTTAACAAAAATTACCATTATTAACCCTAAAAAGATAACCATGTTACAACTTACGTAAAAGATACGCTTCAGAAGCGCACGATTTTCTAGAGCGTATATATTACCCTAATTTTGCATATTTATTTAAATAATAGGTGCATTCTTTTGCAACCGAGCTCCAAAAGAATACTCGCTCAAATGACGAAATACACGCTAAACAACAACACAAACTCCGCTATTTATCCGAGTTCAGCCAGGTCGGTTAAAAATACACGACCTGAAGGGTAGTGTTGTTAAGTGAAAAAACTGCTCTATTGTGAATTGTTAATGGTTCTTTTGTCGCTCGCTTACAAAAAAATGCACCTAATATAGTCATTTTATAAGTTTGGAAGAGTTTTAAAAATTAAATGCGTTTTTATTATAAATTTGAGCATTATAAACTAGAGATGGGAGCGGGATAGCGGGACCCACGGTACTGATTTAAAATTGGCCGGGATGGGCGGTATCGGGAAGATCTGTAAAAATATGGCGGGCGGGACGGGATCAAAATCCTTTCCCGACACTGCCGATAAAACCGCAACCCACGCAAATTTACAAAATCTTCCTTAAAAACGATGTTTGAAATATGCACTTTTTTTTAAGCAAAACAAAATAATCGGAAGATACCAGATCTTTCATTATTATTTAAAATTAATTTGAAAGATGATGAACATTTTTGTCAACCTTCGATCGGTTTGCAAACCACGCCACACACTTTGAAATCTCAACCGATCGTTTCAATTTGCTGTCCGTTTGTAGCCTGCTTTAGAGATAGATTTCGGGACCCACGGGACCCGCGGTACAATTCTGAAAAACGTCGGAATGGGCGGGGTCTGGACTTAAAAATCGAATTTCGGGATGGGCGGGATCGGGATTGAATACTTAGCCCCGTGCCCATCTCTATTATAATCACAAATCATTAGAGCCCTCATTAAAAATTTACAAAAATATGCTCATCGGTAGGTAGGTTATCTTTCTAGGGTTAAGGAAGGAAAAAATGAGACAGCAGGTTGTAAAATATCAGATGTCAAAACTCCTTGGACACTACTATTCACACCAACGAAATAATAGCAATTTATTTCTTGACCATTTTCTTAAAAGGTCCGTACTTGGCTTTATAAATTGAAATGTGCAAAATAAGCATGATCGTTCAAATTAAGCTTGGAAATCCTGAATAAGAAAAAATAAGCAATTCCAAGCAAAAGCTTAAACTTTACGGCGCTGATGAAAAGTGTATTCATATGTTGATAATATTCCAAATATATATAAATACATGCAGGGGCATATTTTATAATGTGACAGTGACAATTCTGTCACAACAGGCATTTTCCATTTTGCAGAATCAGCCAGTTTAACTCGGCGAAAGAACTTTTTTTTCACACCTTATCAATTTGAGCTACTCTCGATCATTTAAGACTTTTCCGTTAACATCTAGCAAGTAAAAGCTCAGTTAGTCTAGACTTAACTTAATTTAACTTACTATAAGAAATCATCGATCATTACTCAACACGTCAACTTAAGCCAAGAGCGGAAATATTTTGTTTTTGTATTTTCTTCTTTAGCTGTTTAACAATTCGCCGCCTAGAATGCCACATCAAAAAATTGCATGCAAACAAAAATGTTTGCTTTCATTTATTTTTAAGAAATACAAAAACGACTGTCTGGCAAGCCTGATTCTCTCACCGCTCTCAATTTCCGCAAGGCCGTAACTTAAGAACCTAAAATTTACAGGTTCTTAAGTTTCTTACGGTAAGTTAAGTTTTAACTAACCGCCAACACAGTTTCTCATATAACAGGTTAGCCATAATATTAAGTTAAGGAAATTAAGTCTAGACTAACTGAGCTTTAATTATTGTTAGTTTAAGACAATAATATTTTTTATCACAAGATGATGGTTTTGAAACCATCAATTTAAACCAGCAAAATAATTTTTTTTTTTAATTTCACATACAACTCGGGGGAAAATTAAAGAAATACCAAAAAAAAATTTCAACTTTTCAATTCGATTTATTAGAAAAATTTTGAGTACGCTGTTTTGTAGTCCATTAAATTTTAGTATAATAAGGTGCAAGTTTGAAGTCTCTAAAAATTTCCGCTGATGTTTGAGAATTTAGTTTGTCAAGGGTGTTGCACTTTTTTTCCATATATCACATGAACAAAATCTATATTTATACTTGAAACCTGCGTCTTATTATACTAAAATTTAATGAGTTTTCCCGAGTACAAAACAGTACGCCAGTCATTTCTCTTCTGTGCCAACTACGCCAAGTGAAGCCAAGTCCTTCTCCACCTGGTCTTTCCAACGCAGAGGAACTCAATATGAAATAGAAAAAATCGATTATGCTAGTTTCTGCTGTTGCATGAACTATCTATATTAAAAAAAATTTTTTAAATTTGTTATGGAAAATATAAATAAAGAAACACCATATTTTTGACGCCGACTGTATATGTATATACCCTTGTGGTCAGCTGATTAAGTTAAGTAGCATTTTGACCATTTCTGGCTATTTTTCTTTTGTCTATTTAATGTTTATAATTTTTAACATTTTACATTACATATCCATTTTAATATCCTACTAAAATTAGATGGACTATAAAGCTGCATACCTTAAATTTTTCTAAAAAAATTTAATAAAAAGTTTAAAATTTTTGGGCGCATTTGTTAAAGTTTGTAGAATTTTCGTAAGAATTTTTAAATGTTATGAAAAGTGCAAGACTTTTATAAAAATTATAAACATTAATTCAACAAAAAAAGGAAAATAACCAAAACTGGTCAAAATGCCACTTAACTCAATCAGCTGGTCACAAGTGTATATACATGTATGGATTTCAATCAAACTCGCTTTGAATTCAAATTGACCAGGAAGTAAATTGCAGAACCTGCCTGGTTGTATTTTATTTATTGTTGTATATTTCGTTCCTCTTCTGGCAATTAGTCTTTAATGAAATTTTCGTACCAAGCTATTTTACTAAAATTCCATATTCTTACTAATACTTATTGTAGTGTGGGTAATGCAAAAAAAAAAGAAAAAGTTAAAAATCGTGTAACAAATATATCGTTTTGTTTGCTGTTATTGTTACTATTATTATCATTGTTGTTTTATTTCATGTTTTTATGGCAACATTTCAACGCGATAATCCGTCTTCTTTAATTCATAATTAAACACACAACGTAATTTTGGGAATGTT